CAGTTCGTCTATTACATTACCTCTCTGTCCAACCCCAAACAGCATAATACTCGGATGCTGGCCAATTGACCTGAGAACAGTGTTGTTGATTGTAAACTCTATATTTTCTAACACTGTTTCCAGACCCGGACTTTTTTCTACATTGACTAATTTGGCTAGCATGGGGCCTAAACTCCTATTTATTCTTTCAACTTGGCCATTCGCTTGAGGTGACCCCGTAGCAATGTTAATATGCTGAACGTTTTGTGTTTCTAGAAAAGAAGAGAATTCGGTCGATGTAAAACACGAACCACGATCAGAAACGATATATTTGGGCCTGCTATACGACCTGAAGTAATCTTTTAGCGCGGTTATTGCTTCTTTCGACTTAGTGGTTTTGGCTGAATATAACCTGACAAACTTTCTGCACGCATCAACGATTACTAAAATACATATGCTTTTTTGAACTGTTTTTGATCTCAACAGGGCCAAATTGATCAACATGTCTCCCGTTTTTTGCTGAGAAAGCGATACACGTTAAACAGGTTTTAATGTGCTGTTCTATGTTCTACCTTTCTTTTTAAATTGGGGATCCAATATGTTTTTGAAATCACGTCTACTACTTTGTCTATCTCGACATGGCCAAGATCATTGTAATACTTGAAAAAAACATGCGCCTCCATAACCTTGGGCACGTAAAACAGAAGGGTACCATTTTGCTTTTTCCTATACACAACTCCGTTGCGCATCTCATACAAAGCGTTTTCTCTAACATTGCTTCCAACTTAACAATACTCTCGTCTTTGCCTTGGCATATTACAAGATTCTCCTCAAAAGAATTCGTTTCAATTATCATAATATTTGTACTTCTGCTTAACGCATCAACATGCTGCATTCTTTTCCCGGCTCTATGCTCAAGGGTGTAGTCATAATTTTCTAGCTCTAGGGCCCATCTGGCAATTCTCGGGTTGATGTCCTTCTTATTTAAAGTCATTGTGAGTGAGTTGCAATCAGTTACTATTTTAAAGTGTCTACCTTGCCAGTAAACTCTAAAACGCTTTAAAGAATAAATTATAGCCAAGGTTTCCAGCTCGAAACTGTGATCACTTTTCCTCTGCAGCAATATTAAACCATATCCTATAGAAACGTAACTCTGTCTCGTCCTTTGGGTGAAATAACGCCAGTATTGGAGCATCTATCAATTTGTATTTGAGGGTCTCGAAGACATGTAACTCTTCGTTTCCAAAACTGAACTTTTTAGCTTTTCTAATAAGATCATATAATGGCTTTGCAATTGTAGAAAAATCTTTGATAAATCTGCGAAAGTAGGAGCAAAGCCCCAAGAAACTTTGGACTTCACTTGTCTTTGACGGAACTGGAAAATCCCGTATGGCTTCTATTCCTCTTTCGTCCGCTCTTATACCATCACCAGTAATAGCATACCCAAGATATTTAACTTTCGTTTGTAAAAACTCACATTTGTCTAACCGCAGTTCTAGCTAATTTTTTACCAATCTATCAAATACTTGCTCGGCCGCTGTGGTGTAGTGGTAAGCAGTGCGCTCTTCCACTCCACAATACCTGGGTTCAAGCCCTGGTCAAAGCAACATCGCAAAAAAATATAGAAAAAAGGTTTTTTCTTAACAGCAGTCGTCCCTCGGCAGGCAATGGCAAACCTCCGAGTGTATTTCTGCCATGAAAAAACAGCTTCTTATAAAAAAACAATCGCCGTTCGGAGTCGGCGTAAAACTGTAGGTCCCTCCGCTTCGTGTGACAACATCAAGGCGCACGCCACAAATCGGAAGAGAAGCTCGGCCAAACACTAACATATGTGTAAGCGCCAATCTATTATTATTATCAAATACTTGTTTTAGTACTTCTAAGTGTGTATCCAAATCTTCAGTAGCCACCATGATGTCATGTAAGTAAATTATGACATTTTCTTCTCTAACCATATCTGCAAAAATTTTGTTGATAAACTGTTGGAACGTTGATGGAGCATTCCTAAGACCAAACGGCATCCTAAGAAATTCATATCGACCCAACGGAGTTGTAAACGAGGTGTATTTAATTGAATCTTCATGCATGTACACGTGAAAAAACCCATTTCTAAGGTCGAGTTTTTGATGTGTATACATATTTGGTTTCGGTAGGGGTAAAATTTGCGAGTAACGCATATCCCAGCACAAAATTTCGAAGGGCTTAGCATGTGTATTTCAGCATAAAATTTTTATTTTCATTAGAAGCACCCTGTGTTGGCTTGCCAAATTGTTGCATACATTTAGGCATATGCATAGTAAGAGGAAATGCGCTACAATTGATTATTACTTCCGATTATTTAAACTCCGCACATGCATACGGCTTTGTACCTATGTATGCACATATATATACATGGACTCATTTGTTGCAACTGGGCATGAATCACGTAACGATGAAACGATCGTCGTTCAAACGATACTGACAAAACGATGTTGTCAAAACACTGATTTATGCATTTGTGTTGCGGTTACGTGTTAATAGCCGTCATCGATTCGCCACTTCGCTGCTTGCTATGTTTGAGTTCCGGTCGCTTAACGAAAAATTTTGCATGTGAAAGCAACAACAAAGTTAGCTAGCACGGATAGACGATAGCGAGTTTGGTTGTACCTCATTGTATTCGTTCGTTTCGCCACTCGCTAACTGTTGGCGAATCGATGACGGCTACAGTTACTGTTACGTGAAGCAGAACTGGAATCGAGTTGACGATATCGCACAAACGATCAAACAATTTTTGATTTTTATGAAGCAAGACAATCTCGACACGATATCGTTCAGACGAATGTCGTCATACGTGATTCGTGCCCTGGTTTTGATATTCGTAGATGGTTTTAGGCATAGGTTTAGTAGTCTATTTTGGTAAATTTAGGAATATATACAAATAGAAATGCTCAAACTATAAGCTCAAAAACAATAACGGATGCGGTGTTTCCAAGATATTTTAACGCCCTTGAGTCACAAGTATATACAAGTATATTTTATCAATCATACCGATAATTTCATGTATTAAAATAATTAAAAATGAAAATGAATAAAAAAATTAAATCAGAAAAATTAATAAAATTAAGCGAAATTAAATTTTAATTTCTAACCTAACCTACATTTGTATGTATGTAACTGAATCGCTTAATAAAAAGATTATCCTAATTTTCGAGCTTAACTCCCTAATCTGTTATTAGAAACAGAGATTAGCCATGCAAAATTATAATTAAAAATATCTCAGATTAAACCGATAACTTTTTGGTGTCCAACTTAGTTTTATCGATTATACTTGCGAAGAAGAGGAGGAATGTCAAATATTAAAGTAAACAAAAATTGACGCTAGTAAGGAAAATAGGTTTGTAAAGGTATTTTTAATAAAATATTCAGTTATAAATATATTTAAATGGCCTAATATGTGCTGCAAAAAAAAGTGACCACGGTGGCACGGAGAAGAAGTTTAACTTTTCCTCGAATTGTGTGAATAACAAGCACAACCAATTTGACAGCTACCGAGCTTTGATTGAGATTATATTTATATGTAAACGTACTTTTATGCATTGCCGTTCGCATATGTATACACATCAAATTTCATGAGTACCTAGTACTCACGCCTTTTTTTATTTGCGAGCTTATCTAGTAGATCCTTGATTAAGGGGATAGGGTAGCTATCATTAGCCGTTACTTTATTCAATTTTCTAAAATCTATACACATTCTAAGCTCACCTGTTTTCTTTATTATTAAAACAATCGGCGACGCGTATTCTGACTCGCCATGTCTTATGTAACCCTTCGCTAAATAATCATCTAATACATTTTGTAGCTCACCTTTCTCTACATATGAAAAACGTCTTGGGTTGCAGCTAAAAGGTTTTAGATCATTAAGAACTAATTTCATTTCGCATTTTACCACAGGGTCATTTGGCCTATCTTGGTTTACATAGCATTCGTTAAATAATTTTTCAAACAAAATAATATCCTTACATGTTAGTTGTTCACCTATACTATATTTTATTTTTTCCTCATCAAAATTGCCAACATTTGCTTGTCAAAATCTTCTTCATAGCTTACTTTTATTTCGTTACAATACTGACTTCTTGCTTTTTGTTCTATTTTATCTTCTTTATTCTCTTTACATTGCCAAACAATTCTAGCGCAGCTTTTATCTAAAAAGTCTCTTCCTAATATTAGAGAATTACCCATAGACTCGTCACTGACAATCAACGGATCTAGATGTACCAATTTGTTTTCAACGTTTATTAAACTTAAAACTTTTCCATACACTTTCAATATACTTTTATTTAAACCATAATATATATCATTTGTTGCAGCCTTTACTTCAATGTGGCCTGGAATTAATGATCTTTTAATAATGCTGACTGGGCTACCCGAGTCTATGAGGCATTCTACATAAAACGAAATACTATTATTATTTGTTAAAGTAATATTAAAATACCTTACATAGTCACAGTTCCTCGCAACAGCATCAGTCTTCTTCTTGTTGAGCCGGCAGTGCGCAGCACGATGTCCCAGTTCACCACAAGCAAAACAAACGTCGTACACACGAATTGATTTTCCATCTGAAGCGATGTGGCCTAAGCAGTTGCAATTGTAGCACCACCCAACTGGCCTCTCGTTTTTCACAGCACTGCTTGCGCCACGGTTCATCGGATGCGCAGATTGACGTTGAAGGGCGATGTTGGTGAATGCTGACAGCAAGTCGTCTGTGTTTTTAAAGCATTGCATGTTTGCGCTTATTCGTAGTTGGCGATCAGGTATTCCGTGAACGATGTAATCAATTTGCTCGTTCTCTGGAATATGAATACCATTTGCTAGCATTGTCTTCTCATTAAAGTACTCGGAAAATGTTTCTCCGACGCGCCATTTGCGTGTTTCAATACTAGATAGCACTTTCTTTTGACTCGAAAACTTTTTTCATGACCGAAAGTAGATGGTCGACAGGTTCAGTTGCGAATTCTGGCTTAGAGAGCAGCCATATTAGTGCTTTAGCTTTTTAGACACACATTTACATTCGTTTCCCCGTCGTAGTCAGGAAAAAATTGTTTTAAACAGTTGAAGGGAATAACATCTTCTTTAGCTGCTGTTTTTGCTGATGGCGCCGTTTCTTTTATTTTTAGAAGTTCGTTCTCTCGACGCAGTAACTCTCTTTCGAACCGCAGTAGTTCCAATTCCTTTTGTATAAAATTCATTTCTTTGTTTGCGGAGCTAGTGTTGGAAGAATCTTTCATCATCTCGTATGCTGCTTGTTGACTTTGGCTGTCGTTTGTGAAATTGTTATTTCGTCTATTATGTTTTTCATTTGCCTCGTTACATTCGCTTTGTTTACAACCGTCGAATAAAATTGCTTGCATTTGTTGTTGTGCCGTACCGCAAGCTAAGTTATCTGTCACTTCGTACATGCACTCGTTATCATTTTTCTGTCGTTTTAAAATTTCAGCTTCGCTCGTTACTTTGTTTGTTTGCTCCTTTGAATTTTTGTATGTCTCATCATTCGTAGATTCATTTACGCAATGCTGTTGCTTTTCATTTGTTTGCTCCTTTTCGTTTTTGTATGTATTATCGTTTGCAATTGCGTTTGCGCACGGATGTTGCGTACTTGCGCATTGTTGTTGCTCCTCATTTGTAGCTTCGCTTTCGAAGTCGCTAGAATTTTCTATTCCCGCTATGTCGAGATCACGCGGTCAACATCCGCGAACGGTGTAATTTACTTCGTTTATGCGCGCAGCCAACGAACTTTTATTACCATGCGTTGGCAGGCCCAATTTTTTGCACCACGCACGTAGCACGTTAATAGAAAAATCGCTTGAACCTATTGCGCTCAGCTCCACACTTTGAATATTTATTTAAAAGTTTTTTTATTTGGGTGAAATATACTTTATTTATTTGTTAACTTTAAATATTTAGCGCGAGACCCGACCACTTCTGAAAATTGTGGTAGATGACCGCTAAAAAAAAATAAAACCACGTCGTTTCGCTAACAATGGTTTCGTCAACTCTTTATTGGTCTTCGTTCGCTATTAGCGGGTTTATATCTTAGTGCGAGAGTGAGACATAATCAACAAGCTATTATAAATAGTTTTGTAACTTTAAGCTAGAGTGTGAAGAAATAAATACAACTTAATCTAGGGGTTATATACAGCAACTAGTGATGGCCGATTTATATTTGTACATATATGTATAATATCGATACTGCTACACATTGTACAAAAATTTAAAAAAATCTGCAAGTTTCACCTAAATTGCAAACTTTTTATTTATACTCTAAAAAAAAATTATTTTAGTATAATAAAGTGCGAGACTGAAGTTGCTAAAGATTGGGTTGAGTTTTGGAAATTTTTTCCTTGGCAGTGTAAAGCAGTTTTTTTCCGTATCAAGATATCTTTCGAACATATTTTAAGAGATTTCTGCAAACTTCTTTTTATCACATCGCGATGTAGCGAACAAATTTGCAGAAACCGCCAGTTGGGATTTACCAATTTTGACAATTCTCAAGTAAAAGTAAACAACGCCTCAGAAACTTTAGATGCACTTAAATTTGCTAATACTTTCACAAAAATCGCCGTTTTTTAACATTTTCGCTATTAATTCTTTTTGTAAATCATACATTTTGCATTTTAAAAATTGATTATTGAGAAAATTTACTATTTTACAGTTTATTTTATCCTCCCATTCGGCTTTGTTTACTTTTACTTGAGCAATTTCATCACCGCCGGGAATACGGAATCTTGTATTATATCATTATATCGAGCAAAAATGAAACTTCTCAAAAACGCGAATATGTGGTAGATTTCAGACCTTGAGTGGTAGATGCTCAAAAAAGTGGCAGATCTACCACAATGTGTAGAAGTCCGATCACTGTATGGGGTCATAATTTTTATTCATTTTACAAAACTAAAATACTTTGCAGAAAAACAGATGGTGTCAACACGGGCCTGTTCGAGACACGTAATAAAAGCGGCATTACTGATTATGCGTTTCGAAATTCCCACCGAGCGTGATACTTTAATAATTCTCGCAACACTGCGGTTGTGATAGCATCTCGAACAAGCCTCACCTTTATTTCGGGATATAAATGTACCTGTTCGCAGTTGTATCGTCATCGAAAAATCCCTGATAGAGCACAAATTTATTTGCCTGTGGTATAATGATTTCCAGACCATAGTGTTTCTTTAAAAATTGTAACAATTTTTCAGATGGTCTATCAACGGAGCATTTAACAGGAATCCAATTTTCCTCAGCCAGCATAATGTCGAACAATTTCTTTCCAAGTCCTGTGCGCTGTCGGGATTCGTGGACGTAAAAATCTAGTATACAAGGAGAATTGTCGACTTTCTTTGTCTGACCCAGACTATCAAACAGATATAAATTTTTGGTGCCAACTTTTAAAAGTCCTACTACAACATCTCTGTAAACATAGGAATATAGAAATAAAAATTAAAATGATGGAATTGTATTGTTAGCACATATAACATACTAACATACTTAATACTTACATACATACTTAATAATTTTAATTCTTTAAATATTATTTTTAGTTTATTTTCAGGCTTTTATATCATTTTATATTCAACTAGGGCTGTGCGATTATTCAACATATTTATTAATCATAAAATCATAAAATAAATAACTGAATTATTCGATTAATTGGAAATTATTATTACTCAAAAGTTCGGTTACTCGAGTAATAAAGATTTTGATTAACCAAAAAAGTGGAATAGTTGAGTAATTTGCTTTATGATTAATTAACATTATGGGTAAACTGAGTCATTAACTCTTTTGAAGAGCAAAATTCATTTTTTGGGGTAAGGCACTCCGCACATTACGCGCCTAATCATAGTAGAGTAATCGTTTTATCATGTCAAAACGAATGCATTACGACTCGACTTCTGCACACTTGGGCGCCCTGCGTAAGCCCTGCTGGCGCACACATTACACATTTTCTGGCCGGTCTTTCTCACTAATACACTTCCGCGAACATTTCTGCAATAAAATATTGCATAAACGTTTATGGCTTAATACAGTTGGCACGAGTTTTAGCACAAAATCATTAATTTTCAATTATTTCCTACTGAAATGACAAATAATTTTTATTTCGGGCTCAAAAAAGTAAACAAATGCCGATATCAAAACGGCAAGCGCCTTACAATGTTGGGCGCTTCGATTCATGAAGTTTCATGATTAGGCGAAAACATGATTATGAATCGTAATATACAGAGCTTCATTGAAATACATGTGTTCGGTATAAAATCTTCATACTTTATTACGCCGGAACGATTACACTACTATGACTAGCCGTTTAATGTGCGGAGTGCCTAATCGTATTTTAAGTAACTCGATTAATCATCGTTTTGAGTAATCAAGATCTTGATTACCCGAGTAGTCGATTAACCGAACAACTTGCTCGAGTAATCGCGCAGCCCTATATCCAACCCTTTAAACACCGACATTGCACTTTTGGGCCTTTCGACTTTTTTCGTCGCAAAAATTATATTTTTTGAACTAATAAAGATATTTTAAGAATTTAAATTGCATCCGAAAGTAAAATATCTACACTGATGGAAAAAAATTTTATAATTAAAAAAAACGTGCTAAATTTAAAAAAAATACGCATATGAAAGAGCACCAACCCAACTCGTTTTAAATTTGAGTATGTACGTTATAAAGTATGTCGTTGTGAAGTGCACAGATGCTTTTTCGTTATACGAAATTATAATTAAGAAAAAAAAAAATAAATTTATTTTATGATCTGTCTGATGGTAATTGAACCCGAGCCCCCTTGGCAGGAACCAATTGTATCAAACGTCTTTGCGCACTCAGCTACACCCATACATGTAAATGTGTTTTCAAATGTTGAGTTTGAATCTACATCACAGCGCGCGATTAGTGCATTATGTCATACCATGTATGTGTGTACGTGTGTATGTGTTCCCTGCAAAAAATTGTGCGACTAATCTCTGAAGAGAGTAATCCGAGATTACTCTCAATCGGGTACAATTGGGCATTAATTAGCCGCAACTAGTCTCATACGGGTACTAATGGAGGTCAATTAGTCTCGACTCATCCCTTATGGGTATAATTGGAGATCAATTAGTCCTCAACTCATCTCTAACGGGTACTATTAACGATTTAATGATATGTACGCACTTAGTCAATGAAATTTCATGTGCAGCGTTGGCACACAGAGAGAGTATTCGCCTGAGCACCCCGGTTCGAATCTCAGCTGGAGCAAATTTTTATTTATATTTTTTAAAAGTGACTAGTCGCTTTTTATACTCGTTCGGGTATAAAGGTGAACAATTAGTCTCTTCATAGGACATGCTCGAACAAAAGCGAACAGTTCATTCCATATGAAGAGATCAAAAGTGGTATTAGTCGCATGCTCCTTTGCAATTGCTCCCGGAGTCATCCCGGATTAGTCCCATTTTTTGCAGGGTTGTCACCGCCGTGCATGCTTTGTATACATATACTTTCTTAATTACATATGAAGAAACAGCCGAAGCGTGCAAAACGCCAGCCGTGCAGTGAAAAATGCTTAATTTTAATACGAGCATATTTGAATTGAATATTTCCATTATACGTAGTGTATGTACAATGGAAAAATCCATTTTGTTGACACTGTTCACGTGATTTAAATACGAGCATTTTTAAACGGTAATCAAATAAAATTTTTTTTGTTATTACAACGCGTTTTTTTCTCAGTGTAAGCTTTTTCAGTAAAGGAGCTAAATTCTATAAATTGGTTGATGGAGTTATATTTAAACATAAAATAAGATGAGCAAAAAATGGGAATGCTTTATTTAAGAAACCGCTTTATTAATTTCATTTGAAATGCATTTTAAAGAAAAATATAAGCTTAACAAGTAATTTTTAAGCAAAACAAAAAACCGGCTTCAATTCTCATACAAAAGTTTAAGAGTACCGTTAATTTGATCATGAGGTACCTCTGAGGTACCACCTTTCCTTAAAAAAAAGAACCAGAGTTATGCGGAAACATACATAAAAAAATATTCCGACGAATTGATAACCTCCTCCTTTTTTGAAGTCGGTTAATAAGTAAAAGTGCAGGGTCCCACAATAACAGCGTGCTTTCAAATAAGCGCTTTGATCTTAATGCAAAAACTTTTCACTAAAATAAATTCGCGTTTTTCCTTTTAATAAAATAATAGGGCCATTCATCGAAAGGCATAAATGCTTTGTTACCATTTAAACCTCGTAAACTTACTTAATTTCGTTATTTCTCTTTGAGGTTTTTCGCAAAGACAGAGATTTTGCTAAAACTGGTGTTAGTAGGGGTGGTGGTGTACTGATAGCTGCGCGCAGATATCTTCGAGCTTCTTTTTATCCGCTGCTAGATGCCAACTCCCTGTTGGATCAACTTTGTGTAAAATTACATGGCACCTGTGGTGTGCTGTACATTTGTGTATCCTACATTCCGCCGGGCAGCTGTGATGTCGTATACAAGGCACATGTTGAAAATATACTGCCACTCCACGAGAAAATTGCAAACAGCCAACTTTGTGTTTTAGGTGACTTTAATTTATGTAATATTTCCTGGAGCTTTATTGATAACAATATTTTCCTCACCCCATCAAATGTTACTATTTTATCTGAATCATATTTAATTGATAATTTATTATGTATTGAATTATTTCAAATCAATGGTTTTTTTAATGAGTTAAACCGAATTTTAGATTCAATATTTATTAGCTCTAATATCAATTTCAAGCTCCCTTTGGTTTTGGAGTTTGAATTTTACCAATATTTTGAATTACCGACAGCTAGTCAGACGGTTGCTTTTAACTAATCTTCTTGTAATTTTGCTGAATTGAATAATTTGTTTGATTTGGATTGGTCCCAGCTCTTTGGAAATGTGGATGTAACTGGTTGCTACGATATTTTTATCTCTAAAGTTTTTGATATTTGTGTGGGTCACATCCCAATTCTTAATTCGAAAACCGCTAAGCGTCCATGGTTTACTAAAGAACTCAAACGTATAAGGAATATGAAGAATAAGTTCTACAAAAGACAAAAGCATTTCAACGATGTTAATTTGCGTGAGCGTTACGTGTTTTATAGAGCTGAGTTTAACAGGCTCAATAAATCTTTGTATAGGAATTATATTCGCGGCGTAGAAAGCAATATTAAATCTAATCCCAAGTTCTTCTGGAGTTATATTAAATCAAAGAAAAATTGCTCTAATATACATACATCGGTCCAGCTTAACGGGGTGTCAGCCAACTCCATCTCCGAAGCTGTTAATCTTTTTGCTGATTTTTTCTTCCAATTTTATTTCAGGTAATTCTGATAATGATTTTATTCCTGAAGATCTTTTGTCAAATTTAGATACTCCCATTAACTTCGGGAAGTTAAAGTTGACAGACAAGGATGTAGCTAATGGCATTAACCAGCTTAAACTATCCACTAACACTGATGTAGATGGCCTCTCGGTTATTTTATTTAAAAGTTGTCCTTCACTAATTGCGCCTATGAGGCACATTTTTAACATGTCTCTATCTGCCGGAGTTTTCCTCGATGACTGGAAATTTACTTTTATTACGCCAATTCTTAAAAGTGGTAATAAAAATTGTACTGAGAATTATAGGCCGATTTCTAAGCTTACCACTGTCTCAAAACTATTTGAGTCCATAGTTAAAGATAAAATTTACTTTGCTGTTAAACATTTATTATGTCCCAACCAACATGGGTTCGTGCCGGGTAGATCTACGTTAACCAATTTAGCTGCTTTTACAGAGGACTGTTTGGAAACTTTTCAAAAGGGATTCCAAATTGACGCTATATATACCGATTTCTCTAAGGCTTTAGACAGGGTGCCTCATCGAATATTGATAGCTAAACTTGAAGGCCTGGGCTTTCATTCAGAGTTTCTGAAGTGGATCACATCCTATCTGTATAATACACGCTGTGTTGTTCGTTTTGATAATGTATCGTCTTATTCTTTTGTCTCCTCCTCTGGTGTTCCCCAGGGTAGTGTCTTAGGTCCGTTATTATTTGTTATATTTATTAATGATATATCTTCCTGTTTCTCAAAGTGTAACTTTCTTCTATATGCGGATGACCTGAAGATATACTATGAAATTAAAAATATAGAAGACTCATTGATTCTCCAGGGTGAGCTTGATAATTTGTACTGTTGGTGTGCGCGTAATCGTTTGTCCCTCAATATTGGTAAATGTCATTATACCTCTTTTGCAAAAGTGATTAGTATTGTTCCAACCTCTTACTATTTTTCGAATGTCCCGCTAAAACCAATTACTGATTTTAAAGACTTGGGTGTTTATTTTGACTCCAAGCTCACCTTCACCACCCACATAAACTTTATTGTTTCTAAATCATTCGCATGTTGGCCTTTATTCGCCGCAACTGCTTGTCATTTTCCGATCCTTATACTCTCAAACTGTTGTATTCGTCTTTAGTTCGGTCGAGGTTTGAATACGCGGTATTTGTTTGGAGACCTTTTCATACAGTTCATGTGAACAGA